GCCGGCCTGGAGCAGGCGCCCGGCCGGGCAGCCGGCGCACAGCCCCGGCCGGGTGGCCGAGCAGGCCGCACAGCTGCCATGGCAGGCCTCGCACCGGGGCGGCGAGATGGCCCGGCCGGTGGCCTCGTCCGCCACCGGGAGCAGCCCCGGCTGGCAGACGCACGCCGACAGGGCGGCCTGCATGCCGACCGGGCAAATGCAGTCCACGGCGCCCGGCCCGGCCGGCACCGCGTGCTCAACGCACTGGCACTCGTCGGTCGCCGGGTTGATGAAGCGCCCAGCCCCGGGGCAGGCGCACCGGCCGGCCACCGGGTCGAACTCGGCCCTGGGCGGGCACCAGGCCTCGGTCTGGTCGGCCCGGCCGTACACCGTGAGGCTGGCCTCGCGGCCGTCGGCCGACCGGTCCACCACCACCACGTCCATGTGGCCGTCCTGGTCGACGTCGGCCACCAGGATGTCCGGCGGCGGGGGGAGGCTGCCGCCGGTGGCGGCCGCCACCCGGCCCGGAAGGATGACCACCCGGCGGAAGGACTCCCGGGTGTTGTCCTGCGCCATGTAGGCCACCACCCGGCCGGAGGCCCGGTAATGCAGCACATAGTCCATCAGCAGGTCGCCATCCAGGTCGTGCGCCTGCAGGAAGGCGTCCTCCTCGATGGGGTCACGCTCGAGGACGACCATGGGGCAGCCATAGCCATTGCGGGTGCCACTGCCGGCGGCGGTGCCCCGGCCGAGGGCCGGCTCCGCGCCAGCCGCCTGGAACATCGTCGAGCAGACACGCTGCAAGAGACACTCAAAGCCCATGAGCACGACACTGTCCGGTTGGCCGTCATTACGCAGGAGGCCCAGCTCGATGGTCTCATCGTCAGGCATATAGGTGACGCTGGTGCTGGTGATGTGCCGGTCGTCCGGGTCCAGCAGCCACATGCAGGAGCCGCCATTCAGGGCCAGAAGAATGCCCGGCCTGTCGGCCGGCAGCCCGGGAGCCAGGTCGCTGGCGGCCTCCAAATGCAGGGCCTCAAAGGTGATACTGATGACCATGCTGGGAGCGATGTACAGGCGCCGTGGCAGGGCTTCCTGCCCGGAGAAGGGCAAATGCGCCGAGACCCATGTGCATTTGCCGAAACTCACCGGCAGCGCGCCCAACAGCAAGGGGATGGTCAGGATGACGCGCTGCCACTCTTCCGGCGGTGCCCCGGCCGGCACGCGCACCAGCCGAATGGAATTGTTGAAGATCCCGCTGGACATGGTGGCAGGCTCGAAGAAGAGCTCCTCCGCCGGGTACCCCAAGGGCAGGGCATTCACGGCACACAGGCTCATGAGGTCGACAATCGTCTCGGCGGACAGGACATTGATGAAACCGACCATGCGGATGTGCGAGAGAATGGCCATCGGCTGGCCACCGATGTCGCAGAGGAAACTCGGCGGCGGCGAGCCTACCCCCAAGTCGGGGAGCGGCCCAGCCTCAATGGTCAGGAGCATCGGCGTGAGCCCGTCCACGTGGCTGAGAACTTGCTTGGTCAGCCCGGGCGGGTAGGGGCCCGGGGTGGGCGCCCAGTCCGGGCCCCACGCCCCGGAGGGGGGCGCCTGCTTCAGGTCCTCGAACCAGGGCAGCGGCAGGGCCCGCGGCAGGGCCGGCAACAGAACCGTCGGCACCAGGTCCCAGGTGAGCCCCGGCGTCGAGGCCGAGTGGCTGGCCGAGTGGCTGGCCGACGGCCCGGCCCGGAGGGCCGCCCCCGGGGCCGAGCCACCCATGCCCAGAGCCAGCCCCAGCGGCCCGGGGGTCTGGTGGCCGGAGACGCCGACACCGGCGGCGGCGGAGGCGGAGGCGGAGGCAGTGCACAGGCCCCACATGGTGGCCATGGCGTCGGCCAGCCGAAGGGCCCGGGTCTCGGACGGCCGGGCATCCGGCAGCAGTTGCGCCGCCGACACCAGCCACTCCTCGGACTGGCCATCCTCCGGCCGGGTGCGCGACAGGTGCAGGAACTGCCCGGCGGCCAGCATCGGCGCCGCGTGGCCCTCGGACGAGTGCATCACCCGCAGCGGGGCCACCTGCCGGGCTTCCATGCTGGCCCAGGCCGGGTGCAGGGGGATGTGCAGGGCCGGGACCCAGCCGTCGGCCAGGTCGGGCGTCTGGCACTGGCGCCCGGCCAGCACCGGCGCATCCGGCGCGTCGCACCAGGCCGCGCACCGGCCGGACTCGGTCAGCACCAGCCCCGGCTGGCACTCGTCGCACCGGAGCTCCAGACACACCAGGCACCCGGCAAAGGGGCAGGCCATGCAGGTGGAGGCGCCGGACGAGCTGCCGGCCGGCCCGGGCCCGGACCCGGACTCCGGCTCGCATGCCACGCACAGCCCATGGCGCGGATCGGCCGCCGGCATGCCCCGGCCTTCGGTGCACTGGCACAGGTCGGCCGTGCGCAGGTTGGTCGGCCGGAAGGTGCCCTCGTTGCTGGCCGTGGAGGGGGCCCCCGGCTCCGGCGGCAGGGACTGCGAGGAGACGAGCTCCCCGCCCCAGGCGCCGGGCGGGGTGCAGTGCCCGACCATGCCGCAGCCGCAGCCATTGGTCGGGCTGCCCTGCTGGAAGAGGGTCCCAGCCATGCTGGCCGGGTTGATCAGGACCACGGCCGAGTGCTGGTCCTCGGGATTGACACTCAGCGCCAGCATGATGATCGGCCCGCCGTGGAAGAAGGAGAGGGAATCCCACGGGACGGCCGGCTGGTGGTCCACGCGGACCGTGTGGCTGCGCCGGCCGGGCTCCCCGCCGGCGGCCCCGTCAAAGTGCACATCCACCACGTGCAGCCAGCTGCCGGTCCAGAGGAAGACCCGCGCCCGGCCCGGGGCCATGAGCAGCGGGTCGGAGGCGGCCACCAGCGGCCCGGGGACCGGGGCCCCCGGCGCGTGGCCCAGATCCCCCATGGTCAGCACCGGCACCGGGGGCAGGAGGTCCGGCCGGTGCCGGGCCCCGGTGGCCACATTCCGCAGGAGCAGCATCACGGCCCCGGTGCCGGGGTCGGGCCGCTCCGGCACCAGCAGGAACCCCGGCCGCTGGCCGGCCGGCGCCAGAACCGGCACCAGCTGCCCGCACGGCAGGTCCGCCAGGAGGACCTCCCCCGGCAGGGCCGACAGGTGGAACGAGTCAATCGGCTGGAAGGGGTACCAGAGCAGCTGGCACCGGCGGCCGGTGGCCGCCGCCCGGGCGAACTCCACCGGCTGCGACAGGGTGCTCAGCACCACCATGGTCTCGATGCCGAAGTCGTTGTCCATGGCCGCCCAGTGCACGGACACCAGCGTGCTGTTGGTGATCAGCCGAGCGCCAAAGTAGGTCCCGCGGACGACCCGCACCACGGCATCCGGGCTGGACGCCTCGCCGACCACCCGGCCCAGGCTCATGAAATCCAAGCCCATGCCGAAATGCTGCTGCAGCCTGGAGCACCGGCCGGCGGAGTTGGCCTCGGCGCAGGTCATCAAATCCCCGCCGCCATAGATCGTGGCGATCTTTTCGTTGTACTTGACCAGCGTCTGGCAGGAGATGTTGCCGAAGGGCTGCCCCTTGGCCAGGTACCACCCCCGGAGGGGGTCCTCCTGGAAGGACACCCGCCCGACCAGCGAGTGCCCGGAGAACAGATGCACCTCCTCCGGCGCGGGGGAGGTATCGAAATGGATGTTGGAACGCAGGTTGCCCTCGGCCATGGTAGTGTGGATCCCATCCGGCACATGCTCCCACGCGGGCCAGGCCAGGGTGACGCTCAGGTCGAAAAGCGGGAACGGCTCCACGGGGATGGCCTCATACAGCACCCCATCCGAGGGGGGCACCAGCCTGGCGATGACCTCCGGCCCGGCCGACCCGGCGCATGTGCCGCCCTGCAGGAGGGCCCCGCCGGGGCAGGAGGTGCAGTCCCCGGGCCCGGCGCCCGTGCAGGAGGCACACGACGCGTGGCAAGCCCGGCAGCTTGGGGCGGCATTTTCCCCTGCACGTGTCCCATGGACGAGGCGTGGCAGGGGCATCGGGCGTGGCCGCGTGGGCATATGTGGGGGAGGCGCGCGCGCGCGCGCGGCCGTGGGGCGCATGTCCACCGGCGTGGGGGCAGGGGCGAGCGCCGGGCCGATGTGCGTTCGCACATGCGCACGCAGCCGGGGGACACGGGGAGAGGATGCACGCATGCCGGCGAGGCGCACCCCGGCGTCGAGGGCAGATGCCCACAGGCGGGCGCGCATCATAACCAACGTCACAGGAAACCCGGGGGCAGGGGGGGGGGGGAGCATATTCCGGTGTCAGGAGCCGATTCCCGGCCGGGAGCACGGGCAGCCCCGGCCCCGGGAAGAAGGGCAAGCCCCGCACGTGTGGGCCGGGCACTTGTACGCACCATTGTCATTGAAGAAGCCCGGCCGGCAGAACTCGCACGGGGCGAAGTCCGTGCCCGGGTCCACATTCGGGTCCAGACACTGGCAGGTGGGCTGCTCGAAGAAGCCCCCATGGAGGCAGCGGGCGCCCGGGCCGCACAGGCAGTTCGGCGAGGCGGCCACCTGCGACAGGAGCAGCACCTGCCCGCCCATGGACCCGTGGGCCAGGGCCACGTCCAGATGGCCATCCCCGTCGAAGTCCCCGGTGGCCACCGACCACCAGACGTCCGAGTGGGTGGGGAAGTCCGGCAGCAGGCCGGCCCCGTGGGCCTCCAGCAGGCCGAGGTCCGATGGCCGGCCGCCGGCCGGCCGCACCGGCCCCGGCACCAGCCACACCCGGCTGCCGTGGGCCACCAGCAGGCTGTCACGGCCCGGGGCCGCGAGCCCGGGCGCGCGGGCGATCTTCGGCTGCCGCTGGTCCACGGCCACCGAGGCCAGGGCCAAATCACCAACGACCATGTCGGCCAGCAGCAGGTGCACCGGGGCCGCCAGGTCCGACGTCAGCAGGAAGATCACCTGCTCCGGGGCGGTGGACCCGGCGCCGGACACCACGGCCAGGTCCGAGGCGCGGCCGTCGCCGTCGAAGTCGCCGACGACAATTTTCCCGGCGCGGAAGCCGGCCGGCAGCCGGTACAGCAGCGACAGGTCCGGCAGGCCGCCGGCGCTGGTAAAGGACCGGCCGATGTTGGACAGCCAGTAGACCGACTGCGGGCCGGTCGGGTGGAGGGCATCCGAGGCGGCCACCAGCACCGCGTCCACCAGGCCGTCGGCGTCCAGGTCGGTGGCCGTCAGCAACTTCTGGCCCACCAAGCCGATGTTCACAAAATGCTTGTCCGGCAAGTCGACCACCGGCAGCATCAGTCCCAGCTCATCGTGGTGGATGCTGGCCACGAACGGCTGGATGCGCGGGGGGGACGCCTGGTCGAAGACCAAGATGGGGCTCTGCCCTTGCATGTTGATGCTGAACAAAATGTCCCGATTGAGCAGGAAGATCTCGGAGCTCGTGGCCACGGCCGACGCGAAGACCATCGGGATGTTGGACACAAGTCCCGCATAGAGGGGCCAGGCCCCGGGCCCGGCCGACACGAAGGGGTACCCATACAGGCAGGTGGGCTGGCGCAAATCGCCGGCGATGAAGCGCACCGGGCGCGCGCCGGAGAAGTCCCCCCGGCGCTTGCCCCCGGGCGCCGTCTTGACCGAGTAGTGGGACCACGAGTAAAAGAGGTCGTCAAAGCCATCCGCCATGCCAGTCATCTGGTACCGCTGGGTGAAGAAGTCGCAAAAGACAATGTCCGCCTGCCGGGTCGGGGACAGCTCGCTGCCAAGCAGCCAGACCGTGTGGAAGCTCGGCGCGGCGCCGGCCACGGGCCGCAAGGCCGACAGCAGGACCAGCACCAGGAGGGCCAATGGCCAGCACCGACCGCCGGGGTGCCCCGACATCCTGGTCGAGGCTGAGGGGGGCGGGGGGAGAGAGAGAGAGGGGGGGGAGAGGGGGAGAGGGGGGAGGGGAAAGGGTGGGGCGGGGAGGGACGCGAGGCTGAGGGCGGAGGGGAGAGGGCGGTGTTGCCGCTGCCCATGCCCAGCGCGCATCGACCGCCGTGGCACTTGGGCGGCGGGCCCGGTCAAGTGCCAGGGGGGGGGGGGGGGCCGCGGGGCTGGCACCAAAAACAACAACAATAATGGCAGCAACAAGCACGGCAGCCGGGAGAATAGCAACACCGGCGTCGGGGCTGGTGCCGACGCCGAACCCGTGCCCTGAGGCCGGCCCGGGGCCTCGGAACTTGTGGCCACCATTGGACCGCGCGCCCTGGCAGCATGTGCGCGCACATGCCGGCCGGCCCGGGGCCGGGCCCGGGGGGCCGAGGGGGGGCTCCGGACGCGCCCGGAAATAGGCCCCCCCTTGGCGCGGGGCCGCGACCGGGCCATAACCATAGCCGGCCGGGTTGTAGCCCCCGGAAGAAAAGGGCCCCTGGCCCTGGGCCGCACGTGCGGCGCATGCTCTCGCCGCGCTCCCCCGGCGGCCTGGTCCCGGGCCGCCCTGTTGCACCAGCCGGCCGACACCGGCAACCCCCCCCCCCCGGAGCGCCCGGCGCCCGCTCTTGGCAGCCGCCGGAGTTGGGTGGACGACCTGCCTTCGTGCGGAGTGCCAACGATCGCGCACGGGCGCCTGCCGGCAGCACGAGAATCCCGCGTGCCGCGAGGCGCGGACGATCGGGCGGGGGACGTGTGGCGCCCGGGCGCCTTCTCGGGCCGTGTGCCGGGCGCGATGGGACCGGCCCCGGTGGCCTGCGGGGTGTCCTTGGCGACCGGCGGCGTGTCTGTGTTTTCGGGCATTATTATGTGCCCCTTTTTTGCGGGAACATGGCCCCGGGCATGGGGTCCCCCTTGGCGCGCACCGCGCGGGGTCCTCGGCGATCCGCCAGCCGGGGCCACCACCGCGGGCCCCCGGCCCCGGCAGGGGTGGTCCCCTCCGTCCCTCCTCCCTGGCTCCTCGCTGCGCCCTTTCGCCCCTCGTTGCCCGGCCGCCCTGCGGGCCGAGTCGCTTGCACGCCCCCCCCCCCTGCTCCCGGTCTCGGCGCGCGGCCCCGCAACGAGGCGAGGCGCGGTGGGCGGGGCTCGTGCGGCCGGGTCCGGTGCGCCCCCATGCCCGGGGGACCAGCAGCCGGGCGACCTCTTCCCGGCCCCCGGGGCTCCTCGCTGGACCGCTCGCTGCCAGGGGACGCCGACGGGGGCCCCGATGCCTGCGAGGGCTCCTCCGCCGGTGGTCCCCCCCGGACCGGAGGTCGATCGGGCGCGTGCTGCGCGCCGGCCGCCACGCAGCGGTGCTCAGCGCGCGCCCGAGGCCCGAGACGTGGCGGCCCACCCGCCGCAGGGCCGCACCCCATCGCCACGCCCCCGGCCCACCGCCTCATCAGGATGGCGGCGCCGGGCAGCTCCGCGATGGAGGCCCGACGCCGGATGCGGGACCCCTGCCTCCTGGCCGGCTGGCGGGCCCTCGGCCCGGGGGGCGCCGGTCTCCGGGCCAGCTGGCCACAGGCCCCGAGCACGCGGCACCCGGCCCGCGGGCCCTTCCGCCCGGCCCTCCGCGCGCCTGGCACCCGGCGCCACACGGCCGGCGCGGTGTGCTTGCCCGCGGGCGGCCGCCCGGCGGACGTGGCGAACGGCCGATGCGCGTCGCCTCGCAGCACGGGCCTGCCGGTGGCCCCGGCCGCGGTCGCGTGGACACGGGCTCCTCGCGCGGGCCCCCGTAGCCGAGGGGCGTCGAGGCGAGCATGCCTCGAGCATGCGACCGGACCTCCGCGGCCGCGCCCCGGGGGCTCTCAGCCTCTGGCCCGGGGGGATGCCCCCCGCCAGCAGGGCGCCTTCCCCGCACGCCGGCCGCCCCTGTCCGGGCCGGGCTCGCCAGGGCAGGAAATCCAGGCATGCCGGGCCGCGCTGCCGGCGCCCTCGGAGATGGCGCACATATCTCCGCCAGCGGCGCCGCATCATTGCCACTCGTTTTTTTTTTGCCGGTGTCCCGGCTCGGCGCCAGGGCACATGAAGTTGCACGCCGGTGCGCGCACATCGGCCGAGGCGCATCGGCGAGTGCCCTGGCCAGGCCCCGAAACGCGACCCGGGCACGGAGGTGGGCCGGCTGCCGCCCGGCCGGATCCCGGCGGAGAGGGCCGGCTTGGGCGGGCTCCCGCCTCATGTCCTCCCCGGCCCCCATGCCGCCCGGAGGACAGCCTCCCGGGGCATGGGCCGACTCGCGCCGCGACCCGGGCACGCACGCGGTCGCCCCACACACCGAAGGGCACACCTCCCGGCCGGAGGTGCCGTGCACGCACCCGGCAGGGCCCCAGCCGGGCGCCGTCTGTGCTTCGAGTTCGCCGCATGGCCGCGATCCTGCCCCCCCCGAACCCTGAGCTCCGGCGCCTGGCCCGCGCCCCGGGCACGCGCGCCGCCCGTTGGCCGGTCGCGTGTGCCCCGCACGCCATCGCGGCCGGGCCACCCTCTCCGAGCCGGTCCCGGCCGCTGCCCTGCCTCGCGAGCAGGTGTGCCCACACTCGGCGACAGCCTCGGCTGGGGCACCTCCGCCGGGCGGGCGCCCAGGGCCGCCCGGTGGCGTGCCACCGAGCGCCGGGCAGACGCCCATTCCGCAATACCAGCACGACTATTTTGCGACCAATCCATCGGCATGTGACCCGTAGCACTTTGGCCAACAGCCGCCCCCGGCGCCGGCCAATCGCACGGCGGCAGGGGGCCACATCGGAAGATGGCATCCCCCGCTGGGCGTCTGGCTCCCCCGGCCCGGCCGGGCCGCCGGGAGATCTGGCCCCCAAACAGGCCAAAGGGAGCGCCCGGCCAGGTCGGATCCCTACCCCCCCCCCGCGCGCCGCGCCGTCTGGCCCCTGCGCGGCGTCCCGCCGCTTCGCCCGGCACGGCCGCGCGCCCGGCGTGCGCACCCCGCAAGCCGGGCGGACGGCCTTTCAGCCAGGACCCCGGGCCGCGCGGCACGTCCCGGCACATGACCCCCCCCCCCTCCCCCTCCCTTGCCTGCCATCTTCTCTCCCCCCCCCCCGCTCTCTCTCCCTCGCTCATCCGCGTTCCCTCGGTGGTTCGCACTCTGATCGCCGGGCCGGCCTTTTTTCCCATCCCCGACTTGGCAATGTCCGCATGCAGTGGAGACGCAGAGGCGGCCGGGCCACGGCCGTGCGTGCCGGCCACCGGCGAGGCGCCAGCGCCGGCGGCGCAAAAGCCCCCGGCCGTGGCCCTGACGACGGCCTGCTTCGCGGTGTCGCTGGCCCGGCCGGCCGGCAGCCCGCGGGTGGTCCCCTACGCCGCGGTGGCGAATGCCGCCCTGGGGGCGTGCTCCGGCGGCGAGTCCCTGCTGCAGGTGTCCCAGGTGTGTCTGTGTGTCCGCGCGCCATGCCCCCGCCTCCCCTGCTTCTAACACTCCCCCGACGGGGCAGACCCTCCACCTGGCCATCGGGAGTGTGGAGCTGGCTCTGCTCGTGACCGACCTCCGGGTCGACGGGGCCAGCCTGCCCGACGGGGCCATCGACAAGTCGACGCAGGTCATCCTGGCCGCCGGGCCGGAGGTGCAGCTCCTCGACGCGCCGGTGGTGGTGTCCCTGTCCGGGCTGCTGGGGCATGCCCCGGAGCAGCATGTCATCCTGAATGCCATGCACCTGTCCCTCGGCAGCCTGGATGTGCTCTTCGCGCCGGCCGGTGGCCAGGTGGCCCGGGCGCTGGCCGCCCACCGGCCCGACGCCCCGGAGGGCCCCTTCTACGCCAGGCACCAGGAGCGGGTGTTCCACATCCGGTACGCCCGACGCCGGCCCTGCGCCTGGGTCCCCCCCTCCCCCGGCCGCCGACTGACGCCTCGCCTGCTTCTCGCTCGGCCCTTCCCCCGGCCGCCCGGCCCCCCCTGGCCCGGTGTCCCAGGATCTGCCACCGGCCGACGGTCCCCGGGCTGGCGCTGCGGGCCAGTCCGCGGCTCTTCTCCTCGCTGGGGCTTCGGCAGCACGGGCGCCCGATGCCGCTGGTCGTGTGCGACCCGCCCCCGGTGCTGGGGGTCGTTTGGCTGGAGACCGATGAGCCCTTCGAGCAGCACGACCAGGCGCGCGTGCAGCGCGAGCTGGCCGGCGCCCCGCTCCATGCCGGGCACGTGCGTTCCCCCGCCCCGCGGGCATCCCCCCTCTGGCCGGTGTGTGTCGCCCGCTCACGCGTCCTGCCCCCC